TGTAGGTGCAATGTAAAACATAATCTTACACTACTTTAATCTTTTTCTCTGATGACAAATGAAGTTGACCATCTTGTCACAAGATTTGTGTTTGACTCTGTGGAAGACCTATTCTTGTACTTAGCTCATTTTCTATGAGACTGTCTTTTTCATACTAATTTTTAGGCTAAGCGGCTTGCACTGGGTTGTTGATTGCCTCCAACCTAATGCATGACTTTCCTGAGTTTCCTCCACTGCTTGCACCTCAGTAGACATCACCTGTGAGCTACCTATTACAAGAGTTCCCACCCCTACCTTTTTTTTTTTTCCTTTTTGTCTTTTTTCGTGACCGGCAACGGATCGCAACCCTCAGTGTCGCGCCCATACCGGACCAGGACCGGCCACGGGATCGCAACCCTCGGTGTTGCTCCCGCCCCTCGCTCAGCCAGTGAGCGGCCGGTCTGTATGTGGGATCCAAACCCTCGGCGGGAGCGCCACCACGCTTCCCAAGTGGCGCACTATAGCAGTGCGCCACCGGGCCGGCCCTTCCACCCCTACCTTTTTTTCCCAAACCCTATAGGAAGCAACAACCCTGAAGTGAGACTCCATGCATGTCACTAACTCAGGGTCTTTAGCATTTGAAGCTCCATTAATCTTTAAAACTTACTACTTGTCCAAGCAAATGACATTCATTCTAGATAAAGTAGAAGCATTGGCAGTTTTGAAACCCACTGGATATAAAAATTTCACCGTGGGTTATCAATAGGGCCCAGAGAGATCAAATCTAAAACTGAGTGACCTAAGGAGCAAAAATGTGAAGGGGATAGGAGCATATCTTAAGCCACAACACGTGCTATATACTTTCCATAGTTTGTCTTTTTTGGAGGCCAGCTGGTACAGGGATCGGACCTTGGTGTTTTCAGCACCACACTCTGAGCTAACTGGCCAGCCCCATATTCTATTTTCTATTAAACCACCTTCCAAATTAGTCATTATCATACTTTTCAGATGAAATTTGATCCTAAGATAGATAAGAAATTTGTCCATGGTCAATTGCTCAGATTATGATACAGATTCATCTGACTTTGTTATGAAGTTTTGCTTGTAAGAGTGAACTGGAGGAAATGGTTTTATAAACTGTTTTAATGTCATCTGCAGCCAGTTTCCTAACACTTAACATTTAGCCATTTTTAGAGACAATACGTAAGACTGAGGTTAGTAAAATTAGATGTGGGTAGACATTAGAGAGGTTTTATAAACTGGAGCTTGAGAAATAAAGCCCCGAGAATCTGTAGTCACTGGAAATTCTTCTGATAACTAGCACAATGGAGGTAACCCTGTCAACGATGCTTCACGTGTTGCCCTATAGACTCTCCATTTGCCAGCGCTAGTCAAGACACTAGGATACCTCTAGTGACTGCTGAAATTCACAGGATTTTTTATTTGTGGAGGACATGTATTAATAAAAAGCTTAACAGAATACCAAAGTAAATTTCAGTGTGATAAACCTTTAACGAAATGAGCATTAAATAAGTTTAAAAATCATGAACAATATGAAGGTTAGCTTTAAAGGTTAAAATTCCAGTAAATAGGGTATGATAACTGGAACAGGCAACAGTACAAATTCCCCTTTGGTCCTCCAAGTTTGAGAGTAGGGCAGAATAAAACTTTAGCTCTGAAGCTGGTGACCCTGAAGACTCAGTGCCTTGGCTCCCTCACCAGTGTCCAGGCAAACCGACCGACCAGAAACCAAAATAAAAAACATGGCACTGAATAACCATCCTCTACTTGGTGCAAGTTACCTGAATGCCTGGAACTATATTGCCTCACCTGTAACAAAAAAGAAAGGAGTTATATATCTTGAAGTTTATGAAATGAAAATATTAGTCATCAAATATTTCCTTGTTAATCATGGTGTGTTTAAGTCTAAAGAGATATACAGAACTTATTAAAACGATCACTGTCCCAAAATCATCTTGGGGGTTTATATGCATTTGTTACCACTATGGTTCAAAACAAATTTAGAACACAGTTCTTTAAAATTGCCTTCAGAACTAGATGGGCAAGCACTGATACACCTTATTTTATGATTATTTTCTGGGAAGAATTAATACTATCCATATAAACGGTTCATCAGACTTGGCTCAAAAACACAATTTTCAAAAATCAGAGGATAAAAATTTGTTCCTATTAAATTTGAATATCTGGGCCGGCCCGTGGCTCACTCGGTAGAGTGCGGTGCTGATAACACCAAGGCCGCGGGTTCGGATCCCATATAGGGATGGCTGGTTTGCTCACTGGCTGAGCATGGTGCTGACAACACCAAGCCAAGGGTTGAGATCCTCTTACTGGTCATCTTTTAAAAAAATAAATAAAAGTAAATTTGAATATCTACAGTTTTGGCAATCATTGGAAACAACACCAAGCCAAGGGTTGAGATCCCCTTACCGGTCATCTTTTAAAAAAATAAATAAAAATAAATTTGAATATCTACAGTTTTGGCAATCATTGGAGTAAGCTCAAAATCTCCACATTCTTTAAAAAGCAATATTCATTATACCAACATTTTATAGGTTTTGATACATGTTAAAAAATTTTACTACCAGAATATTTCAATTTTCCCTCATAACCAATGCTTACCCTGAAGTTGAATAAACTTTTCTCTATGCTAATCTTTATACCCCTTTATCCACCCCAATTAATAAGTGTACTTAATCATATTTACTATGGAGTAGAATCATTGTGTACCAAAATGTCACCCACACGGATAACTTGACCTCTCTCCTTGCTGCCATTGGACTAGAGTAGTAAATCAATCATGGTCAGGCCCATTCATCAGGCTCTATTCTGTATTCAGACACGTGTATGTACATATATGTATACACATGACTTCAGAGACATATGCCAGGACACCAAAATGTATTACTAGGTAATTTAGAAATCTAAGGCATAAGAGTTTAGGGAAATTTCACATACATTCTCTCCACTTTATAAAAAATAAGTGACCTCATTTGCGTGCTGTCCTTTAAAGCAGAAACTTGGTTCTTGAAATTTGGTTCTACTACCCTTATTTCCTGAAGCCACATATTTCTTTACCAGATACACATTCCTTATGTAAATCCTTGGCGAGATTCCTTAGGTGGCCCAACTTCTTCATTACTCTCTATGGGCATGGTGTTCTTTCCTTTCAGCAGAGTCCTAGGAGCCTGGGGGCAGCTAAGACCCGTTCTCCTAAAAATTTTACAGCTTTCCCTAGGCATATTTACAGAGTATTACCTGAAAATACCAAGGAACCACCAGACACTCCATTTGTGTGCAAGTCATTAAAATTACATTTATTCCACTAGTAAAAATTATTTACTCCTGTGGTTCTGGTTTGAAAAGATGTGGTAGACTTGAGTCAATGAAACCATCTATGGTTCTTTTCTCCACCTTCATAGGTGTTAAGCCATTCCACAGGTGTAAACTCTTATACCAAAAAAGATCTTAGAGCATAAAGTGGATGAGATCTGAAGCACAAAAACTTAATTTTGACTAGAATGCACCTTCTGGGATTAAGTAAAAGCCATGGCCAACCAGCCCAGCTCCTGAGGATTAATAGTGGTAATGAGGAAAACATTTTGAAACTGGGTTCAGATTGCATTCAGTGTGTAGGAACATTATGAAATGAATATAAAATTTCACAAGCTAATTTTGAGCTTTAGGCTTATTAAGGTGCTTTTCCCAAGTGTAATGTGCAGAATGGGCCACTGGAGGGCAACAATTTCCTACAGGAAAAAGATGCTGTTTGAAAAGACATTGATTTAACCACAATGATAACCATTTCACACATAGAATGGATATAATCAAAAAGACTGTTTTAGTCTGTTTTGTGTTGCTATAACAGAAATACCTGAGACTGGGTAATTTATAAAGAAGAAAGGTTTATTTGGCTTACGATTCTGGGACAGCTGCATCTGGCACAGGCCTCAGGCCGCTTCTACTCATGGCTGAAAATGGCAGCCAGCTGGTGGGTACAAGCAGATCACATGGCAAGAGGAAGCAAGAGAGAGAGAAGGCGCCAGGGTCTTCTTAGCAACGAGCTCTGGCAGGAACTAACAGAGCAAGAACTCATTTATTAATCCCCCCTTCCCCAGGGAGAGCATTAATGCATTCACGAAGGCGCCAGGGTCTTCTTAGCAACGAGCTCTGGCAGGAACTAACAGAGCAAGAACTCATTCATTAATCCCCCCTTCCCCAGGGAGAGCATTAATGCATTCACGAGGGATCCGCCCCCATGACTCAATCAGTTTCCAACACTGCCACATTGGAGATCAAATTTCCACAAGTTTTGGAGGGAACAACACATCCAAACTCCATCAAAGACAATACCGAAATGTTGAAGGGGATGAAAAGAAACTGGAAACCCCATACTTTGCTAGCAGAAATATAATACAGTACAACCACTTTGGATAACAGTTTGGCAATTTCTTAAAAAGTTAAAACCAAGTTACCATAAAACCCAGCAATTCCACTTACATGAACCTACCCAAGCTAATTGAAAACAAATGTTCACGGACATTCATGGTATCACACACAATAGCCAGAAATTGCAAACAATCCAACCACCCACTGGTGAATGGATAAAATATGGTATGTGCATACAATAAAATATTACTCAGCAATAAAAACACTACAACATAGTGAACCTGAAAAACATGCTAAGCAAAAGAAGCCAAATGCAAAAGACTATATAGTATGATTCAATTTATATGAAATACCCAAGAAAAGGCACATATATGACAAAGTAGATCAGTGATGGCCTGGGCTGAAGAAAGGAAAGGGAAGGAGAGCAGAATGACTACAAAAAGGGCTCATAAGAATTTTGGGGGGATGATGAAAATGTTCCAAATCTGTATTATAGTGATGTTGGCAAAACTCTATAAAATTAATCACTAAACTGTGTACCTAACAGTGGGTGAATTTTATATTAGTTATACCTCAATAAAGTTGACCCAAACACACATTTAGTACTGCACTAGAATGGTACTGGGTATTAAATAAGTGAAAGAAAACTCGAGCACTGTGTATTAGAATGTAAAACAAATAGCCACTGGGTCATTTGGTCCTAAGCTCTGACTTCCATACAGGAAAAAAAGATCAGTTTGCAAATGGACAGGAGAAAAATCAAGGAATGTATGGTTAGGTAAGAATTTTATTACTTTTGGCCAAAGGCAATTACATTTCTTACTTGAAACAGAAACATTTGTTTAAAAAGAAAGGTTGTAAAGTTTCAGGCATAATACAATTAGTTTCTGAATCTATATCAGTACTTTGGAGTCATACTTATGAAGGGATTTATAACACATCAGTGTGGTGAGGGACTGGTGTATCTAAAATAACCGATACATGAGACTTCAGGTCAAAGAGAGACACTTGACAGGCATATCTATACCAAGTAATCTTACATTTCCCAAATTATCCTTTTATAAACTCCTCTTTCAAATTTATCCAGAAAACTTCAGTTATGGTAATAAATACACAGGAAACTCATTTTGTTAAGATCTGAGGGATCTGACAAGTTTCACAGAGAATATCAATTTCATAGAGGATAAGTGAATATCAATTAAGACAAAACCATGCCGTTGTCCTTGGCATCTTGAACAGTGGTGGCAACACTCTGTGGGGTTATGAAAGACAAGATAAATCTAATGGGCTCTCTAATTACTATTAGTTCCTAGATAAATTATAAGCAACACACTTTTAAATGCTTTACTGGGCTCTCAGAAAAGCAGGGAAACCTCCAAGGGCCAATATATGAGGTGAAACCTGAGCAGGAGTGGTAAGTAAATAGAGGGAAGTCAGTGTTGCCCTAAGGATAAATGCCATTATCAGCACTGAGATTGGGAGAGTAAGCCCTGGACTCACAGCCATGGGAGGACCCAAGAAGAGAGCTAAAATGTCCCAGGCCAGTTTTATTCCCTGGCCTAAAGAAGCA